AGTTAGAAACGAAGTTAAACAATGTTTTACAAAGTGGCAAAATAGACCTTTGGTCACTCTTTTGATCATAACTTGAGTTCTACAAATTGTATTGAAGCAATTCAAATTGCATTAGAAACTATACTTGAAGAGCTTTCCAATGATAGGTTGCATGCCTGAAGAAGCTTCCTAGAACAAAAGTTATAGGCGTTTGAATCTAAGTAATGCAGTCAGCCACCCGCGGGATGTTGCTGCGCCCCTGTCCCGCGACCATTCGACACCAGCCGTAGCTACTGCCAGCCCGCGGCCACCAGCCTGCGCCCGCAGGTTCTGGCGAGCCAAAGCAGCCCATGAGGTGCTCGTGTTGTCGACTTTGCTTGCGGTTTTATGCCACGTCATCTTTTATCATCCAATAATAATTTAACCTATGTTATCTTTATTTTCTTAATTTATTTTTAGATTAGTTTTAGGATAATATAAATACTCAAGGGATATTATTTTTCTCTTATGCCTTTTTATACTTTTTGTTTTACGTTCGTTTTAGTTTTCTCCCTAGCCCTAGTTTTTCTTGGACAACTTCATGGATTCCTCCATGGATTTGTCCTTGAATTTGTTACATTAATTCTGAGGTAATTTTATTTCTTTACTTTAATTATGTTTTCTTTATTAGATCTAGTTTTAATTATTTCTTTCATGTTTGAGTAGTTTTATTTCTAGGGTTTGGGAATCCATGTTTATAAAATAACTCTTGATTGATATTATTGATATTTTGATTATTGGTTTCTCTAATTGATAGTGTTTTATTGTTAATCTTGCAACCTAATCAATTGTTTGATTAATTCTTGTTAATAAGAGTTTGAATCGAAAGATCTTACTTTTAGAGGTTACCTATAATTAGCAATTCTTATTATGTTAGCGATCGAACTACATATGTTGAATTGAGAGCGTTAAGACCCGATCGTAGGCTTAGCAATTGCTCTAGATAATTTATTTATTGAATTGTTATTGATATTTGATAGATTTAGAACTATAAGCATGGTGAATCACAACCCTAGGTCTTTTTATCAATTGTTTTATTCCTATTTTAATTTAGACTACTTCCCTATCCCAATTTTCTAACATAGTTTAGTTTCTCCAATTTCTTAGAGGTTAGATTGAATACCATCTCCCTGTGGATTCGACCCTACTTACCCTACTACATTGTTAGTTGGTTTTGTTAGGAATTTATTTTTGACATGTGTACGAAAACCTATTAATTGTTGAATTACCCAACCTCCTAGTCGGTAAAGAAACATAAATACTCGGCACACAGGCCGGAAAAGTATAGAAATTGGACATTCGGCCGCAGAAGTAAATAACATAAAGCTTAAAGATTAGGGGAGCTTCTCAGCACTGGCATCCGCCTTGTCCTCCGGCGCATGCTCCTTTGGTTCCTCATCTCCCTCCTGATCATCCTCCTCGTCCCTAGAAGACGAGCCGCAAGACGAGCTGGACTCCTTAGAGGCATTCTTGGCAGCCGCCTCCTTCTCGGCCGCCTCCTGAGCCTCCTTGAGGAGCCGGGCATTGAACTCGTCATTTGCCTTATCAAACATCAAACTGGACCTTCCAGGTTTGATAATCGGTAGACGGCTGAGCAGCCGCCCAGGCCGCACGCATGATGACCTCATTGTCGTCCATCATTTGTTTGACCAAGGCTTGTTTCTCCTCCTCCATCAAGGACCTATACTTGGTCCGGAGTTAGGTCTCCTGGTTGCTCAGCCGCCCTTGGAGTCTTTTGACCGGCTCCCCAAGGCTAGCTGCCTTGGACTCCGCCTCCTTGAGAGTGTCCAGCTTCTCTTCAAGGCCCTTGATCTGGTCCTGGAGCTCCCTCACTCGCTGCTTGGCCGCGTCCAAGTTCTGGTGAACTTGCAGGTTGGCAGACGCATGGGAATACAACATATCCAGTGTCAAAATCTCATTTTGAACAATCTCAAACTGAGCTTTGTCCATAGTATAGGCGGCCCGAGCATTCGCTGCCTTTACCTCCCTGATCTTCTCATTGAGGGGCCCTTTGAGACCGCTCACGCGCAGCGTAGCCTGCAGGCGTCCAAACCAAAGAAGCTCATCAGAAACCATTCGACAAAAATATGTATAAAAACCAAGTTATAGGAAGTTTTACTTCGCAAAGAAGCGCCAGAATGCCATCCAGGTCCAGGGTGCCAACCCCTTTGACGACGGCCTTGTCCTCAGGATCAAGCGTCCTGAGCATCCATCTGGCCATATGGAGGATAATTGGCCTCACTGGGGCATCTATCAATACAAATATAGCTAAGTCAAGATTTTAAGCAAGGTGACATTTCATGAAGCTCATGGTCAAATGGTTGGATGACTTACATCCCTCTCCTCCTACGGCTTCGCTGCCGCCTACTGTGCCGCCATCAGTGGTGAGTGGCTGTTTGCCACTCTTCGACACTCGTTGTTGAGTGTCCGACTTTTTAGGAGTTTGAGTAGGGGAGGAGGCGCCCGTTCCTTCTTGGCAGGCTTGGTGGCGACGTGTTTCCTTCGGCTCTAAGGTACGTTGCCAACTGACTGCTTGCGCAGCTTGGGGTCCGACTGAGAAGAGGGGGGCAGGCTTTGATGAGCCACTCTGAAAATAATTCTAAGTATGAGAAACAGAATATGCTAAGCATTTCATTAAGAGAAAACTTTGCAAGCTTATTACCTTAGGAGTGTCGCCTGGTGGCTGCTCATCCTCCTACTTGAGGTTAGAGCGGTAGAAGGGAGCTGAGAGGGCTGGCTTTTTGTGAGTAGGGAGCTTGCCCATTATCTTGTCTGCAACAAACAAAAAAGAGTAAGCAAAGAAACAAGTAAACAAAAGCAAGCAAAGTTCCTAAAATCATGCGGCTATCTACTTCTCGGCATCTCAGTACTAAGGCCGCAGGCGGCCAAGTACGTCATGTCCGAGAGCCACTCGAATCGGGAAATATAGCTTTGGGGGGTGATTTACTTAACCCCCGTCTCGGCGTTCATCCGGAAGGTCACAGTAAAGAGGCCCCGGTCAAATATCTCCTCTTGTGCCCGCCTGGGAACAGGCGGAAGGACCTTCTTCCCAGCTAAGAGGCGTGGATACTGGGTCTAGCGGTTGTACATCTTGTTTCTTTGGGCGTCTGGGGAAGAGAATATGTAAAATTTGGTCGTCCAATCCTTCCATTTGTTCTCTTTCCCCAGCGTCATCATGTACCGGGTGTGGCTGGTCAAAATAAACCAGTCGATCCCGTTTGGATTAGGCGTACTGCTCATATAATGCATGTGAGCAAACGCCTCAAAGCTGGGATCCACCTCCAGCATTTCGCAGGCGGCAACGAAGCCCAAAATATTAACCCAAGAGTTAGGGGCTAGTTCCCAGATACCCAGTTGGTATATGTCCAAGGTCCTCTCCACAGCCGGAAAAAGAGGAAAGTGAAGTCCTGCCTGGATGACTGCTTCGTAAAAGCCGAAGCACTGGTCACCATAGACGACCATCTCAGGCCAGGTGACCGTGTTTATAGCATCCGACACGGACAGAAGAAAACCATGTCCCATGACATGGTCAGAAAGAAACTTGGGGAGATCATCCTTCATGATCTTCCGCTTGCCTTCCGGGATGTGAAGATAATAAGGCGCACGTTCATGCCGCCTAGAAGCAGACGGCTCCTCCCAGCCTTCTCCCTTCTCAACGGAGAGGGACTCTCTAGCAGCTTTAAGGTTTTACTACGCCTCCTCCGAGTAAAGAGGGACGCAGTTAGAAGATGATGACACAGAGTCATCGTTAGAGCTCTCTTCGGAGCTGGGGGGCCTGCCGGCTGGTACCAGCAGTGTCCTCCCCCAGCTCGTCATCCGGCACCGATCCACTTGGCCCGGGGTTCTCAAATTCCTCGTCGCACTCCTCCAAAAATGAGTCATTTGGAGTGCTGACGGTGCTAGGTAGATCTCTACTTATTTCAGAGACAGGCACCCTAATGGAGCCGTTAGAAATGACAGTCTCATTGTGTGAATAGTACCAAGAACCATCCGCCCTATACCTCCTTGTTGTTTGCTTTGTTCTGGCCATCGTGTCCTGCAGAGGCATAGACAGTGTCGGATTTGGAGATGTACTTAAAGGAAAGTTCTCGAACGAGCATTCGACACTCCTAGTTCTAGATTCAGCCGTCCCCGGTGATCGGCTGATTGCTAACCTAGGTCGTGTCGGGTGCGTTTGGGAAAACATTTTTGATAAAGAAAAAATGCAAAGAAATAAGTAAAAAAGAGATCAGGCGGTTACCTTAGAAGGAGGTAACGAGAGTCGTCGGTTTTGGGCGTCTGTTGAGCAGGCGAACTAAGGGGGCCGACTGTCGGATGCTCTGGAAAGTCAAAATCTTTGAAAGTCAGAAGATTCAAGATTCTCTTAAAGATTTACGCAACTGTAAATCCAAGGAGAAGTCAACCTCCTATTTATAGAGGGGGTGAAAACCTGAGGTTAAAACCCTAGATTCCTCAACACTAAAAAGTAACAATTCGGCCAATCAGAGGCCGACACCTGTCATAGGCGTCATGTGCCACGCACGTGGCCCCTGTGAGGGGCAAGTGATTTGGGTATTTTATACCCGACCAAGTGGCCCAATCGGAGTCTGACACGTGTCACTGGAAGGGGCGCCACCTTGAACCTTCCAGATGGTGACACGTGTCAGGCAGATACCACCCTTGATTTGGGGTATTTGATGGTCTAAGTAGACCAATAAGAGAGCGACACATGTCGCCCTATGAGACGCCCAAATGGCCTCTTAGGATGAGCAACACGTGTCACTCAGATATTGCTTCTGAAATGGCGGCCTTCAAAGGCCCAAACTTTGAGGCATCGTTTTGCGGCGTGCCCTAATCCCTAGGTCATCAAACCCTAGGGAGGGCACACTTCCCCAAAAGACCCTATAAATAGGGACAACTCCCTCATTTATGGGGAGGATCGAACAATTTTAGCATTAATTACTGTAATTAATACCGAGCTGTCGTTCCCAAGGAACATACAGCACCTGAGCTTGGAATCCGAGCAAATACCTCAATTTCCGCACGTTTTACTCCGAACCCTATACTAACTTAATCTTCGGAGGCGGACCACCGACTATCTGGCGATCCGTTTGTTTTATAGGTACAGGCGACCTTGTGAATCCAGTCTTGAGCTGTAACTCTCCGAAGGGAAAAGACCCCGAACAGAATCCATATTAGCCCAAAAGATGATTCGGGTGGAATAAAAGAACTAAAAAAAAAAAAACTAAATCAAACCAATTATAATTACTCGGTAAAAAATTCATTATAAAAAATTTAGAGTTTGATTTGGTCATTTTATTGTGTTGGTGAGTACTGAATACGGTATAAGTCTAAAAATGGCGTGTTGTCCAAGTATAAGTCTTACATTAGAGTTCCCTCCTAATCCTATCACTCTCAATCCCAGTCACTCACTACGGAGTACTCTCTATTTCTGTACATTGTCTTTTAGAACTCAACTACCATGTTTTTGATTGCGACTACACTTTTTCTTTTCTTTTTTTTTAAAATAAACTCAAAATTACAATAACTTCATAGCTCCATTTTCTCAATTTCAATTTTCCAAATTTTCTCTCCGCTCCTTTTCTCTTCCACTCTAATTTTCGTTTGCTATTCTACTACCAAGCTAAGCTAATTAAGGGCAAGGACCTCTTGTAAGTACTTATTCTAGCTTCTCTCTTTTTAATATTATGCACATTTCTGAATTCTACCCTTTTTAAATTTTTTTTTTTTTTGATAAATTAAGTATAACTTCACTGCTATTTTCTAATTATGACACTCCAATGTGACTCTGTTCGGATTTTATTCATATATTAAAAAAAAAAAAAAAAAAAACCTCCATTTGTGACTTGTTCGAATTTAATTGTCATGTTGATATTTCGTAGTACAAATTATAAACATGACTATCAAAATTAAGGAGAAGAACTACGGAGTAATTTACTGTTTTCATTGGCTATTTGGATTGTTAGTAGACTAGTAGTAGAATTTTCACTCATTTAAAGGCACAATTTATTTGAGATGCCTCTTGTATTGGAGGGAGCCCCAGTTAATCTCAGGGATTAACAATTCTAGTTTATCTCCTCTCACAACTTTATGGATGAATTTATCGCCTCTCTATTATTTAACTTTTATCATTTAAAAAATAAAATAAAATGATTAGATTGTGAGAGAAAATATATTCACAGATTCATCTCAGAGAGAAACTTGAATTTACCCATATTGTAATGGTAATATTTAATTGTCACGTTGATAGTGTAATTTGCTTGTAATCAACAGCTACATTTACGACTTTCTCTTTATTATTAGTCATTTTAATTAACAATAATGACAAAATTAAAGAATACTAGTGCTGCAAATCACCTTATACGGAGTAATTGTGTTTTGGAAGGAAAATGGGGATATGAGCAGGAATAGTGCGAGTACTTCTGAGTTTCATGATAAAAGTGGAAAATGTACTTTGGTATATGTTTCCTCGAGATCTGTTGTTTAATTTCGTGTTCTTTCTCTTACCTACACATCATTAATTTATCCCTTACTACAGTCAGTATATTTAATGTTTTTATTTATTTTTAATTTGTTTGCTTTGATTTTTCAACGAAAGATTTTGTGGTCTTCTGGTTGGTTCTTATCGTACGGTATGATGTTTATGTGACATGATATAGTTCAATTTACTAGGAATTGAAAAAAGTTGTTAAAGACTTAAAAGGTAACAAATGTTAAAATATGTGGTTGGTTCTAGTATTTTTTATTTACTCCGTAAATGTTACCAAATTACTCGTATTTTGAACATATTTGAACATATGATGTTTGAATGTTTGAGCAATAAGATATGTTTCAATTTTATGAGATGTCTCCTAAGAGACTTAAGTGATAGCCGATAGATATGTAAGTAATGGTATATTGACCAATTAGTCTTTTACATTAGCAATTTTGGTGGTGATGGAAGTCGGAGTTACGAAGAAGACGATGATGAAGCGGTGGAAAACAGTCGATGGAAGTGGAGGTGCAACAATTCAGATGGAGTTACGACAGCCATCGTGTTGTACAAGGCCGGCGTGGCTACTGACCACCCTTGCTGGTAAGGCATGGCATAGCATACTCTTAAATTATTGGGGTTTACATGTATTACTAACTATATTTGTTAGTGTAGTTGGAAGGTTCTTAAATTAGACAATGGTCATTGGGTTAAGGCTATATCATATCATATGGCCCATATTGATATTTTTATTTTTATTTTTTTCCAATCAATTACTACTCGTATTACACTATTACTCTATAATTACTCATCTAACAGTTATTGCCTTCAATTTTGTGAATGTACTAAAGTTTTCAAATGTATCAAATAAAAGTTTACCTACCTTAGTACTCGTATACTTGTATTACCTTTCCTTTCAAATTTCAATTTTGGTTTTGACTTGTCATTTTAATTCAAATAAGTAATCTCTTATACTAGAACTTTAATACTATAAAGTTATCTACTACCCTCTTTGTACCACTAAAATTGTCCCATAATTGTTACTCTATTCTCGCTTATTACAGTTTTGGTTGGGTAAATTTGATTTAAAAAATAAATAAAGTCATAGAACTCAGGAATTATAGTAGTGTATGTGAGAGTAAAACACGTACGAGTATATTGCTTACGACTTTACGAGTACTTTAAGCCATTTTAGTGGGAGGGAGGGAGTTTGTTGTATCCCACTTGATTCAGAGCTATGATTAAACCCAAGTTTTATTGTCATTATATGAAACCCAATGCAGGTCAGCAAATTGTGTATGGAATAAGAGGTCTCTATTCTTTTTGCTTCTTGTATTTTTGCTCATTAAAAGGATTCCTTTGTCAGACAAGCTTTCTGGATTTTACTTTCCTATTTTCAATTTTAATTTTCAAACCTGTTTTTCTTGCAGTGTGACTTCCAATGGTGGGAAAAGTAACCTGCAAGATCAACCTTTTTTTTTTGGGTTTTTGTTTTTGTGTTCAAAGAGTTTCAAACAGAAAACATCATTTTCAAACATTTGCTTTATTTATATTTAACACATCAATTTTTTGGGTATACTTTCTACATTTATCAGATTTTTTTTGTTTCTTTTAAAAAGTAATTTAGTTGTGTTTTGTTTCTTTCTTTTGTTTTTAGAGGTGGCTTGTTAGAATTACTCCGTATTAAACATACTTAGAAACTTGAAAAAGAATGGGTACACCTTAGAAACTCGAATACCTTAGAGGTATAGCTTAGAAAAACCCTTTAAAAATTTCAAACCAGGAATACTTAATTCACTTAGTGCTCCTTAAATTTAGAGATCTAGTCTTTCTCAAGTTTTTATCTGCCTTGGTGAGGTGAGGCCGTGGGCGCTATGCAGCTATAACCCTACTGATGTTTCTTGGCTTACATCGTTACCTACTAATAATGTGCCATAATTGTAAACAATTTTTGCTCCCTTGATCTGAAACTAATAGTCATGTACGCATTAAAATTTTTAAGATAGCATAGATGAATTCTGAAATGCGTTCTTAATAACGTGCTAGTTTATGTAGATTTCCTAACATTGTTACTCGTATATATTTGATTTAGCTAACTGAAATGGTAAATTCCTAAACTAAATGTTCTTAAAAAATATTTGTACCTATTGAAATTTGAATGTTATGTATATTATAGTCTGCAGTTTTATACTTCAATTCTACACATGAAGTAATGTGTCATGGAAGTGAATGCATTTTGTAATTATGTTGTTGCATATATTACAGATTTAGACCAGAAGATAAGCATTTTAGTGCATAGCTCTAGTAATGACAATGATGAAGGCCGAGCAGACACCTTCGCGCAAAGAGCAGAGGCTTATTACCAGCAACGCCCCCAGCTGTTATCTCTCCTCTTAGACCTCTACAACGCCTACCTTTCGTTGGCTGAACGTTACTGTCAATCTCTACACAAGCATCATAATCAAGCTCATCCCTCTATTTATCACCACAGGGCGTTTTCCACCTCCGATAATGTATCAGTCGTTTCATCTTTCCATGACAATCACAGTGAAGAAGCCTGTCAATCAGATGCCGAAAGCTCACTGTCCTACCAATTACCATCTGTAACATCAGTTACAGCGAGTTCACAGTATAACAATCTTAGTGACGATATCATAGCAGAGTTGGTCATCAAGAATGTGGAATATGATTTTATGGTTGATGAGCTTGTGATAACCAAAAGGCTAGCCAATGATTCATCGAGGAAGGTAGAGCTACAGAGGAGTCTACTAGAGGTGCTGGAATCTGAGAGGCTAATTCTCCTGAACGAAAATGCAGGACTGAGGTACAAAGTGGGTGCTCTAATCGACGAGAACAAAGGACTAGCATCGGAGTCCATGTTCATGAAGAGGAAGGCAGGAGAATTAGCTAGGTGTGTATTAAAGATGAGGGAGGATCATCGAGTCTGCATGCTTAGCCGTAAAATTGAGGAGCTTCAAGGGAAGATTTACGGATTAGAGAGGAGAAATCGAGAGTATTATCAGCAGTTGGTGAAGCAAGAGAAGACACAATGCTCGTCGTGCAAAGAAACTGGTAACACAAGTATGGGCGAGGTGCTGAAAACCAAAGATGTAGAGGCTGTTAGCACAGAAGCTTGCTTTCAAGAGGACAAAGAAAGAAACATATATAAGAAAGGGGTCAGAATCTCAAAGTTTTGGGAGAAGGTTAAGAATTCTGATTTGTTATTTCTTTGCAAACCACATCCATCTAGATCTATTGGGCGTTGATTAAGGATATTTTCGTTCTCGAAAACACTAATTAAGCTAGTTAGGCTACTAGAAACACCATGAGTTTTTAACCTTTCAAATCTGAATTATGATTGTATGCTGGTATGAGATTTTGATGTTACTTTGTATCATTTTGTGAGTAAGATGATTTAAGTACCTAGTATCAGGTATTTTGTAAAAATAACTGCAACAATTTTGTGTAATTACTATAATTTTTAATTTTTTATCATACCTTTTTTTTTTTTAATTGCAACCTTAATCTTCATGCTTATTCATGCACTTCTCATACTGGCATACTGCTAATATCTTTAAATATATATTTTAATAAAGATTGTAGAAATATAATAGTTTGAATATATATATATCAAGTCAAATTATCTAACAAAGTACAAAAGACGGCTAAAAGATATTGTGAAATTAGTGTAAAATTTTCAACGTTATAATAAAAAGAATTAAAATATTGAGTGTGTCAAGTCATGTAATTGGGTGTGGTTATTTGCATAAATTTGACAAAACTGACCCAAATTCGCTCGATAACCGAAGTGACTCGAATAAAAAGCTTAACCGACCCTAAATGGCGTTGCCCTGCTTTTGAAATCTAACCCAATACTCAAAGTGAACCGACTTGCTTTTACTCGACTAAAAAATTACCCGATAACCGAAGTGATCAGACTTGATCCTAACCCAAGTCAATTGAAGCGATATCCAAATTGAACTTTACAAAAGTTATCAGATATCCAAAATGACGACTTGAACCAAAATTAACCGATACCCAAAATGATCTAAAACCAGTTTCAACTTGAAATATTTGAACTTAACAGACTCAAGTGGTAAACAACCTAAACTAAACCAACTCGGTTCTTTAATATATCAGATTTTTAGGAATTTTCTCATTGATAGCTCTAAAATATTGACTTTTTTCATTGGAGGCCAACTCTTTTTTTCGATTATCATTGATAGCCTCATACTTCTGATTTTTTTTCTACAATATGACATTTATGAAAGATAAATACAACCCATGGTTATAATTTCTGTTAAATATAACAGATCTGCAGAGAGAAATTAAGCTCATTTATTAAGCATGAGAATTATGAATGCAGGCATACAGCAAGTATGATCATTATTTATACACCTGGAATGAAAGAGGTAATAATCTCTTAAAAGACTTTTTCTGATAAGTAGTTACACAACTTGGTCCTTGTCTTATCATAAGTCATAATAACTAACTATAATCAGTTGAGCAGTGTGATTTAATAAAAGCCAATAGGAGCTTAGAGTAAACCAGTAGCTCGGATCGGTTGCATCTGCTAGCTGTGCAGCTTGAGTCCTTGATTGAGCTGCTTGGATTAGCACATGCTACACTATCACATGCTTCATTACAGATGACTACTCTGTAAAAGTGAAAATGGACATAAGATGATAAGATGCCAGGTTATCTACAGTAGCTTGTTTATGCGGTAGTTAGATTAAATAAAAAAAATCATACTAAGACCTAGCAAGTCAATGAGTTCATACCCAGATAATTTATAGGTATTTCAGAAGTTCAGCTTCATTGATATGCATACGGAAGCTATACCTCAGTCAGCGTTTCTTCCAGTCAAAATATGCCAATTCAGATTGTTAAATTGACAAAATCATACACTGATTCATAAGCATGATATAATGGTATTATGCATAAAGAATTTTCACAAGATTGCACTTAAATAATAATTTCTTAATGTGCTCAGGGGGAATTTTTAAGTAGAAGTGATCAAACTTAGTGTCAATAATCGCTGTTTATGTTAAGTACATAAATTGTTCAGAAATGTTGTGCATAATTTTGGAGACACCTTGACTATACAATGCCAAAAGTACAAAAGCAGAGAGAAGGAGAGACAGGTGGTGGCAGCAGCAAGACACAGGGTTGTTTTTAAGAAATTACTTTACAATAGACAAACTTGATAGAACTTTTGGTGGAAATCCCAGGAAACGAATACAAACAAAAACCTTACAATCAGAAACACGATGCCCAAAAAATGGCAGGAAGCAGACAAGTGAGACAACTACAACTAAGGCTTTACAAGTGATATTCACGACAAAACAAATGTCTTGCTAGGATCTAAACAACAATGTGATGAATGCAACCAAGCCATGAACACTTGAAAAAATCAAACTACAGATGTATAAAGCATTTAAATATTAATATATTGGGAAAATAAGATGATTATGAAAGCACAATTTCAAGTGACACTAAAGAAGATTATCATACAAAATAGAATAGCCAACTCCTCATCTAATTTGTAGGGGGAAGACATATATGCAGCGAATACTTTACAGCATCAATATCCATTGAGATTATATTAAGAACCAAACCTGAAAGAAAGAAAATATCCATCTTCAGTCACTGCAGCAAAATTCTTGGCTAGTCAAGGCATGGCTACAGAAGTCATTTTCTCTTGAAGCATCTGAAGTCGAGCCTGCATCAAATAATTGCAGCTCATGACACTTTAAAAACAGTAAATAATATGCATCAGAAAGCTAATCCGTAAAAAACTTTTAGAGGTTCGGGAGGCAAGGTCAATGTTTTAATATCATGGAAGGCTGGAAGAAGGGATGTATTCACACCATGTTACAACATATAGCAGCATCAACAAATTACCTATCTCCAGCATACATTACATTATGGATTTTTTCTGCATATCTTTTATAGGTTTTCTAAAAGTTGAGTCCATCCCTTTGCTTAAACATAATAAATCAAGGGGTGATGTGAACTTTCCACATCATAAATTCCATAGTAGTGCTAGATCATAGCCTACTTTTCAAATGCAGTACTAGCTGCAAACACATAAAAAAAACTATGACTATAATACATATTAATTCTAAGAACTTACCTTAAAAGCTTTTGAACGACGGAGAGAAGGATCACAGTTCAAAGCTATGGCATACGACTCCTCGGCATCTTCTAGTCGATCCATAGCTATGAAAATATCGCCTTGGCAAATATAAGCCTATGATTTTGAAAACTATCAGATACCTCCAACACAATACTATAACAAATAGATGTATGATTGCACTGACTTCCATATTATAATCATTGGCATTGGCTCTGACTTAAGTTGTGAGACTACCCCTTCTAGCACAAGCTTACAAAAACCCATGCTTTACAAGTGTATGTCTTCACTGAATAAGACATAGTGTTGACACAACATTAAAAAAATGTGACTACTTCACCAGGCCAATGAAAGCATAAAGGGAAATATGCGTATGATGCGGACTTCATCTATATTTAGTGCCAAAAGAGCTTTTTAGAATACACATTTCAAATTATGCACACTGAAATGTAAGTAACATTTCACTTCAATTTAAAAGAGTAAAGGGATCATTCTTTTACAAGTATCTCAATCTGAATATGAATATGACTTAAGAACCCTATGACCATCCTAGGGAAAATAGAAATTAGACTTGAAATCAGCTAGCATATCCACTATGAAGTATGTCATAAGCCTCATGCCCTCATCTCATAGTAACACACAACCCACTATGAAAATAACGATATGCACAGTTAACCATATGATTTACGCATTGACAATATAATGCACCCACTCATGTCCAGTAGCACCCTGCACTAGGACTGGGATGGCCCTTGTGTTTCTTTCTACTCACTTGTTCATCTCTACAAATTTTAAAATCATGATGCACGGTTGACCATGTGACTTGCACAATGCTCAAAAACATGTAAATTACCTTTTACCCTACACCAACATTTCAAAAGTAATAATAATATCAAGCATAAACCATAAGCAATAGTTATTCTCTAAATTTTCAACAGAATGTCAGTGGCACATCTTCCATAGAAGCAAAGTTACCATCTGAGATTTTGAGAAGGATCCAGATTTCGAGAAGGATGCAAGCTTCACCAATATAGATAACTACACTAAACTTTGACATCACCCCGAATTACTTTCAGTCAAAAGTGCGTTAAAAATCACGAATTCCCATGAAGCTCCTTACAGTGAAAACCAGATGTCACCACCCACCTCAGCATACAATGGGGCATATACAAGAGCTTCTCTAACATCTTCAAGAGCCCCACTTAAGTTGCCTGATGCCAACCTTACAGCAGACCTGAATTGGAGATAAGATGCTCACTTATTCAATGAAGACAACTTCTAAATGGAATGGTGAATGCTTCATTCTATGGTAGAAGTCACATGCAATAAATAGTAAGAAACATCCTAATGAACAAAAATATCAAACAAACACAGAACAGTGAAGCTGCCAGCTACCTAACTCACAAGTCATGTAAAACATAATTCACTCCTTAAAACTTTTTTGTTAGAGGGTTTAAATTTCAAGTATTGAAACAAGTGCCACTATTTTCAGCACATGGAATAAGACATGCAAATTTACAAACCTGCCCTTGTACGTAATATGAATGCCTCCTATTGGTTTAGCTTCTATAGCCTGAAATAGCAAACAAATTAGTGTTAGCACTTCTACGGTTCAAACTATAAGTTCATACTAAGATCTCAAAGAGTAACATTGATTATGCTTGAAGATGGAAAATCGAGTGACACACTATTGCCTGAACTCTCTAACATCTAACCTCAGTAGAATTTTTTTTTTCTTCATTTAGAGAATGTTTATTTTTTGCAAGTCACAGGAAATAGTTGCAGTCCCAATAAATAATGTATGCTTGAAAAAACCTAAATTTGGGCTTCCAATCTTATGCTCACCGCATTACCGTAAGAGATAAAGAAATACTGTTGTCTCTTAGCAACATATTTCTTAGCTTCGATAATTAATTGTTGAAAACACATGAGAAACCCAATCTCTAGAAATTAAAAGGTTATTTTTAGTTATACTATATTACTATTAAATTTGTTGAATTAATCTTCCAAGTTTAAGTAAATTGTTTACGGTGCTTAATTAAAATTGTTATATAAGCATTATAAAAATTCTTCCTCCGTTCCAAAATTGTTGACAGTTTTGACTTTGATACTATTTACAAACTCTACTTTGTCTAGATTTTGTGATTATATATAATCATGTGGGACCTTCTTAAATTCTTCACAATGTTTAGTTCTAAATAAATCAACTTTTTATCATGTTCATATTGATAAATAGAGATATACGGTTGAATTAATGCATTGACTAATGTGATGAAAGAATCATGTCAACTAATTTGGAAATGGAGGAAGCATAAGATAAAAATACAAAACCATTTTATAAAACTCATATACTCACATGTTCAATATATTTGTAACACATTATTCATGCCCCAATAGCACAAATGCACAATGCTAATAGTGATATCAAAAGCAACAACAACCAAGAAGGTTCTAGCACGATTCCCGCAATGTTTGATATGTTTCATACAAACAAAATTGAATTTTATTTTTCAAAAAATAACAAAATAATGAACAAAATGGCATTTTCAAGCACACACTAACATGATCTCTCACAATTTAATTATTACAATTATGAGTATTAGAACATTCAAGAGAGTTGTTTTTGGTGCCTTGGTATATGCGAATTTATGAAGTAAAGGAGCAATTAATTGGCTAAAAAAGTAGCAATAGCAGGAAATCATCTAGCTACCACAAACTCGGTAATTCCTCGGTATTTTCTTGAATAATGAATGCTACCTCAAGAAAAACAAGCATGCGGTCCTCGAAAAATAAAATTAAAAGAATCAAGAAAATGAAGGTTGTCAAATTACATCAATTTAGCTTGAGTTTGATAATATGATATTAGGAAAAGACGAAACTATAAAAGATTACTTCCCAAGGGTAACTATATTGACTTGACTCAACATTTTTCAGAATGGTAACAAGATATGCATAGGGGTCATTACGGGTTTCTACTCGAATACGACGGTGTTTGGGGTGCTCAGGGTGTGCCCAATTATAGCCAATACTGACCGCCCTGGACTATAACTTGCCTTCCTGTGTAAACATCCGGTGAACTAGGTGATGTTGATCCTAATTATAATTTCATCAATTCACCTGGTCAAGAAGGGCATTAGCCACCATTTACCGTCCCCCTCTTCCCTTCATGGACACCAAGCTGGTGTCAATCTCTAGCTTAAGGGGTGTAAAGGATATTATCATTATATACTGATAATAGTTTGTATAATCCCTTGATTTACTCATTTGGTTGATAGTCAAAGTATATCCCTGACTTTTAGCTAATGTACCGAGTCAAATACTCAAATGTATCTAGCAAAACAGCAGCAAGAATACATGGAGGAGCATCCTCAATCCAAACACGCATCTCAATAAACTCTCTACTCGCGTGTGCTAATTTGTGAGCGACAACATCCAAGATGGAGTATATCACTAACAATCAGAACAAAACTAGAGACTTCCTTCTCTGTTGCTTCAAGTAATGGAACAATTTACTATTATTAGTTTCAAGAGCCATATTTCGAAGGCCAGCATCAAATGCGATGGACGAGGAGTGTCTAGCAGCAAAGGCTTCAGCCACACCAACACCATAAACAACCAGCTTCACACAATGCAGCAATTAGCAGCCATAATATCTCTAATATTTTCGCGTAAAACTCCACCAAGGCCAATAGATTGAACCTGAAAACAAGAAGCATCTAAAATAATCTTATAAACACCAGGAACAGGAGGGCGCCAAGTAGAAGCAACACTCTCGGCCGTATTAATTTCAGAGGGGAGAGCCTCATTAGCCTTTTCAAATTTCCCAACCATGTTCAGAGTTTCATTAATCACATCCTTAACAAGCGCATTCTGCTTCTCAAACATCCCTGCATTTCTTTTCAGCCAAATAACCCACAACAGACACCAAAATATATCCCACCAGGAGCTATTTTTATAGATTTTCATGAGGTGAGAACACTACAAGAAGAATGAGGATTCATTGCATAAAGTAGTATCCAGCCTGAGAGGAGAAAAATTCCAGATTTGCCTAGCAGCAAGGCAGAGAGAGAGAGCACATGAATGCTTGATTCAGGCTCATCACCACACAACTGACACATATCATCTTCACAAATGCCCCTAAACTTCAGGTTTCTTCTGACAGCAATACTATGGAGTACTCTCCACCCAAAATGCTTGATTTTCGGGGGAATTTTAACACTCCACAGGAAATTGCAGACTTCATTATCCTTTGGGATACATTTCAGACTTCATTGTCCTTTGGCATACATTCCCGACTTCGTTCGAAGAGGAAGCACACAAGTTCTTCCTAGTATGAAGTTCAACATAATCGGCACTACGAACTGTGAAGATCCCTTTTTTTTTAATATGACCACATCCACTTATCACCAGCAGCAAAGTGGGCAATAGAATACTAGAAATTGACTCAACTTCCCAGGGGGGTGAAAAGGTGATTGAGCAAGTTAGTATATCCAATTCCCCATTCAGGTCCCCAACACATTTATGCGGGTATTTAGAGAAAACACAAAAATCAGGAAGAGAGAGAACCCAAGGATCCTGCCATAAATCAGTCAAGTGACCACTGCCAAGTGCCAAGCACCAACCACCTTAACAGCACCTTTCCTAAGAAGATCACAGGCACAGAGGATGGATCTCCAAGTATAGCTATCACCAGAGATAATCTTTGAATCCATGAATTCAGAATTAGGAAAATACTTTTGTTTCAAAGTTTTAACCATCAAAGATTGGGAGTTGCTTAAGATGTGCCAAGCTTGCTTAGCAAGCATAGCTTTATAGAAAAATTTTAAGACTCTCATTCCCATACCTCCTACCTTTTTGGAACAATACAACTGCTCCCAGGCAACCCACACGGTTTTTCTTAATTTAGTCATCTTTCAGGCTGTAAATGTATGCAAAACTTTGGGGTATGCAGAAATATTAGCTTGCTAAGAGTCTGTTGTTGGTATTGTTTGTGCATATTTAGTCGATAGTTTGTCTTAAATTAGTACTTTGTGATTTTACTCTTATTTAAAATAAATGCATTACGAGAATTGTTGAGTTTGGTTGTAGAATGATTAATATGAAGGCTTTGATTAGCCTTTTGGGCATTATATTTGGCTTGAACAACATAAATTTTACCAGTGTGAGCTTCTCGGTGATTGATCTTTTTTGTAATTACATGGCACACTTGTGCTACGCTACATTTTGATGAGGATAACCTCACTTTTCTCTCATTTGCTCACCTCATTTTCAAATCTACATCTCTTCATTTGTTTCATACACTATACGACTATATCAAACATCATCTAAATCCTAATTTTTGCAAAAAGCTAATTTTTATACTATTAACATAAAAAATTAGACTATCAAGCTAGGTGCTAGTTATCTGTCAAATCAATCCAAAAAGCTAATTTTTCTAATATTAACATACAAATTTTTGCAAGAAAACCCTGTCAAATCAATCCAAACACAATCTAGTTATCTGTTATTCAATAACACATGAACCACTGTATAAATTTAACAATAACCCATTAAGATCAATTTTTAAAAAGTTATTGAAAAAAAACACCATCTAAAATATTCCAATCCACCCAACTTCAACAATAACATTCAATGTAACACAAAATGCACAACACAAATAAATTTCATTAACATAATTATTGTTTATAACTATTAATTAGAAGAATTAATTAGTACCTGAGAGAATAAACTTTCAGCTTCAGAATAGTTTTGCTTCTCAAACTCAACCTCACCCCTCTTCCTAAAAGCCAGAGCATCCAAGCTCCTCTTACCAAGATCAAAATCATCACCCCCTCCACCACAGACCTCAACCATGAGCTCAGCGGCACGAGCCGCTGTCCCACAATGGCTAATCATGGCTGCAGGAGACAATACAACAAGGTTAGGACCATTACCGCAGCGGCCGAGACAACCACAGGAAGTTACAGAAACATGGGCAGGTGAAATTCCCAAAACGGTTTCAAGAATTTGCAAAGACCCTTGCCTTCTGCAAGTCCTGTTTGTGCACACCCTTATCTCAACATTGGAGTTTTTTGAAGGTGAGGAAAATGGATCAGTGGGTTTACAAGAAAGTGTGTGATTGGGAATGGTTTTGGTGGGTTTTGATTTTGGAGGGGAATTTAGAGGAGATAGAGAAGAGATGGATTTGGAGTGCATGTTGAAATTTGGAATTCTGATCATTCACAATCATTCTCCGAACTAATGACAATTGGAGTCGGTCTCAGCCCAGGGGTATATCGGTAAATTCACATGGCCTTAAATTTAAAATGCATATAATATATCATTTTAGTGGGGGTTTTATGGACATTTTCATGTGGATGATAAAGCATATTTGCCAAGTTGGATTTTTGGAATCTACGTAATAATGAAACGGTGTTAAGTAAATACAATGACACAGATTGTAGACGTTATTGGAAAAAAGACGGATGTATAAACAACGTTCGGGTAGGTAGTTGAAGTATTATCTTTTGAAGTCGCCCCCGAAAACCAGATTTGTTATTTGTAGAAGAATCTCGGCACGATATGAAGGTGAAAATATAGAAGAGGAATTGGTAGTCGTTATCCATTGCAGGAGGAGCTGGTTCAATTGCAAATCATCTACGTTCCAGGTAAGTTATTTGGATTGTATCGATGGTTTTGGTTGGAATATAAATTCGCTCGTGATGTCGTTTAGTTTTGTGAAACAATTGAACTAATAACTTTGAAAAATTGAAATGTGATTTAGGCAATGGTAACGATAATGGTGATGTGTGGAATAACAATAATTGCAGGACGGGGATGTAATGCAAGGGGTGCTCAATACTGGGAGTTCTGAGGTAAGTACTCGGGTGTTTGTTTGGCCATTGTATTCAGATTTTGCAATTATGAAATGAGTGAACAAAATTAAGTAACTGTGTAGGGGGGAAAGGGACGGAGTAGGCGTACGCTGATATCATTACAAACTGAGTTGTTCAAGGTAATTTATGGTTATATTTAAATTGTAAATGTTGATGATCTGCATTAGAGTGGTTTTTGTTTATGTGGTTGCTAAATACTAATGTTAACAGTGTAAATATGGCAGAATAAAGTGATGAGTTTTGTGGGATAATTTCGAAATGTTAATTTGGTAGGAAGGTGTAATAAGGAATTTTACTGAAAAGGGGAAAATCTTATAAATGTGTAAATTGTTTTTAGGATGATAGTATCAGCGAAGGAGGTTTGGTGAAGGCTAGGGGTGAAGTACTTAGACAACAAGGAATTAGGTGTGGCCGGGTGAGTTATTGATAATTTGTTTGAATTTGGAATGTATTTGAATCTAGATATACGTGTGTTCAATTGGTAAATATCCTTAAAAGTTTTGTTTTTAAAAATTTCAGCCCCCCAATATGAGTTGTAGAATTGAAACGTTTGGGCGTATATGCCAAAAATTTGATGAAAGACGGAAGAGGTGGGTCATGGAAATGGGATTTGGAGGACTTCTACATTTAGTATCGGACATGCACTTACCTAGGCAGCTAGCGTACTGGTTAATGACAAGGATTGACCCAATTAATAAAAGTTTTGTGTGTCCGGATGGTCGGGTTTTTTGGTTCTCAAAGAACCAAGTGAAGTGGATATTTGGACTACCGAAAGGATCACGGGCTGTACCAACTAACAAATGTATGAGTCCCGAACTGAGGTCTAAAGTTGAAAAAATATTGTTCAAATATGGTCGTACGTGGGTGACAAAATGTTGTAGAACTTCTGGAAGGGTTTATACCTATGTTGGTATTCCGGTAACTTCAGAAATGCTTGAGAGGTTAGAAAGTGAGTTTGGGGACGAGGAGGAAGAAGATTTCAAGTCCATGTTTCTTATAGTAGCCCTGCATATGGTGTTGTGTCCTACTCAATCACCGAGATTGGCTGCGGATTTGTTACCAGCGCTGAGTTGTGTGATGGACTGTGCGGGTTTATGATTGGTGTGAGTTAGTACTGAACAAACTAATGGAGAGTGTTGCTAATTTTGCCCGGAGGTTTTATGCCACAGGATATGCAAATGGATGTGGAGGATGTGCCTTTTTTGCTGTGGTAAGAAGTTGAGAGGGTGTGATGATCAAGGAGTATAATGCTACCAATGCGGATACTAACGTATAATGTCATAAATGTTATGCAGATTTACTATCTGGATCGGCTTGATAGGGAGCCCGTGCAGTGGGATGTGTACCCTAGAGTAAAGGTTTGGAGCATGAAATTAATTTCAGAGGCGTCTAAGGAAGACAAGTTTGGTTGCGGTGATTATGGCAAGTTGGGGGTAAGTTGTCATTTAGATGGTTGTATGGCAATGATTTTAGAGGAGTAATTATTTTGAAAAATAACTATAATATACATTGGTGCCCCTGTAATAGGTTGTTGATGTTGCTTATGGAGAACAACATTCAAGGCATGCTCGGGACACTGAAGGGCCGCCGGGTACCGAACTGTACAAAGTAAGTGGATTTGTAGAGGAATGGGAAATGGTTTGATAGTAGCTTAGTCGGTAGTTTATATTGATCTATGAATTGTTGTGCAGGATGTGTCAATTCTGGAGCACAGTAACAGGGATAGAAGGCAAAATTCCATTGGATTTGCACGTCGGAAGCGGAAGGGTTTGGCTTGACGGGATAGGTTCCTTGGAAAGAAAGAATCTGACCCACAATGGCCGGTTACGTGTGTGATATTAGAGTGAGTTTGTGTTGTAGATGGCCATTGGAATGTAGAGAGTTGGTTACAGTTGTGTACGTTTGTGTTGTAGGTGTATCCATTGAGTTTTATTCGGCCTTAGTTTTAAATCCGAGGTTGATTGAGTGACCGTATAATGTCGGATTAGGTGGTTCCCTCGCTGTTTTGTAAAGGATTCATATGGCTTTTTTTCGGCTGATCCTTAAGTGGCTTTAAATTGAAAGTTGTTGAGATGTTTAAGAAAATCCGTCTGATGTTGGAATTCTACGGTTACGAAGTTGAATTCTTAGAATGTAATTAAACTGTAACATGAGATTTAGTTTTATTTTCCCCTCTGGATGTTTTGTAATTGAATTACGAGTATACCAAAGCATTGAATAAAGTTGTTATGGATTATGAGGTTATATGACTTATTAGCCTTGGTTTAACTAGAACGGACCTGTTGGAATATTTTATGGGCCAAGCAAATAATAAAATCGTAAAGAGTTGGGCCAGCAAAAGTTAATTTAAAGAGATAGTGGGTGGGGGCAGACTGTGTTGATTCATTTTGTGGATACACTGAATGCAGGTCCAAAATAAGGTTGGAAAATTTCATAAATGAAGAGGTTAAGCCGGGCCCATACGGGGTGATCCAGTTCGATGGCCCAGACGTACTAATACATGTTGTAAAATAAGTGAGTGTATTGCAAATATCTCCTATGTGGGATGGACTAAAAAAAATTATTTAAAAAAAAATTGTCGAACTGTATTCCTAATTTGTGAAAATTAATTATGTAGCAATAAGCTTAATAATTTGAAATAGTAGAATAGATTGTAGTAACCGGAATAGAGTGAGTTATATATAAGTTGGACACGGATCAAAAAGAAGTTATTACGTCATAAAAAATAATGACTGAATCCTAAGTAATTGTTATTGATTAACTTGAGACTACGTAGTAAGAATTGGTAGTTCCCATCATGGTCAGTGGAATGAGCGATTGTTAAGAGGGGCAAGGTTGTAAAAATTTAGAGCAATTTAGAATTAAATCTCAAAATATATATTAATATAATCTCAAATAATGAATCCTAGATATAATTAGAGGGATTCGTATATAATCTAACTTAATTTGCATAGTCTGTGGTGTTTGTTAAGATTCCGGTTATGGAAAAATTGTACACGATAGTGCGTTAGGGACTGTTCTGTTATGTTCACATCAGTGAGTTTAGTTTTGTTCTGCTCTGTTGAATTGAGTTTAGTTAAGTTAATGTTAGTTCATTTCAGTTTAGTTCAGTTTACAAAATCAGTTCAGTTATGTTAAGTTTAGGTCATAATATCCTTATCATATAAAAAATGTAGTTTAGGTTAGTTAAGTTAAGGGGAGTTTATTTAAGTTCAGGTTAGTTGAGTTTAGTTTAGTTCATTTTTGCTCAACTTAATTAAGTTCTCCGAAATTGAAATAAGTTCAGAAAAGTTATATGTAGTGGCAGGTTAGGTCCTAAGTTCCTTATCTCATAAAAAATTCAGTTGAGGCTCAGTTAAGTTCCGTGCAGTTTAGTTCAGCTAAGTTAAGTTGACTTCACTTAAGTGTAGTTTAGTTGAACTCCATTAAGTTCCATAAGTGTTCAGGTAAGTTCAGTTCACTTGAGTTGCGTCCATGTAAAAACCCCCATAGTGTTAATGGTGTTGTGATCCCATCTAACCTTTAATTGGTTGCACCAATGTTAGTGGCAACCAGTACAGTAATGTTGTGTGATTTATTAATAATTAGCTATTACAAATCTTCAAACAGTTAAAAGTGGTTATATAAAATAATTAACTCCAAAAAAATGGTTTGGGGGAGGGGGGCAGTTATTGTAAAACTACGTTCATTATGAGCAAAGGGATATACCCTAATAGTAATTGATTTTATGATCCATGGTTGAGTATATTGGAATAAGTAGGTCAAAGTAACTACTTACACTTTGGCCTTGTTTGGTTGACATTCTAAAATGGGGGAATTAAAAAATCATATGAATTGAGAAAATGAGGAGTTGTTCGTATGACATAAGAAAGCAAAAATGGGGGAACCTGGAATTTAGGTCAATTTCAACTTCCCAAACAACAGGGGAAGTAAATTTCCTAGCCCCCCCTAGACAAACCAAAATTCATGGGAATTATAATTTTCCTTGTTGCCAACCAAACACATTTAAGAAATAGTTAGGAATATCATTAAGGAAAGAACTTCCCATCAAATAAAATTTCCTATGCGAGGTAAATTCCCACATCAAGAAAAAACACCTTTGTGGGACATTCACAAGAAATTAGAATTGGTTACGAGGGTAATCATATTTTAAGTGTTTTTGGGAAAAATAACAGTTAAACCCTATTAAATTAACAAGACCATATCCAAATGCGAGAATGAAGTGATAAGTTAATTGGGAAATTTTTTAATTCTGAGTGTTCAGTGATTGAAACATAGATTGTTTTCACGGAATTGAATAATTTTTTTTGTAGTTTTTAATCTATTACATATTTTGTTATCGAAATATGTTATAAAATTTGTTTAGATTTAAAATGGAAAAGTGAGAAAAAACACATATAAAACCTTATGAAGTTAGAGTTGACAAGCATTGTTGGTAAAAATGATTAAGTATTATGAATTTCAAATCTCGAAAATGATTATCACCATGGGAGATGTTCTAATATCAACATGGGAGAAGTTAAATTATACTACTTCCTACTAACCAGGTCCATATATACAATTAACATGTGTAATAATATACCTTAACTTTTGCTGCGGGGTGTGTATATGTGTGGTCTTAACATTTCGGTTTGTTCTTATAATATTAACTTATCATTATTCAGTCAGGAATCCAAGTACGATCTATTTTGCATATTTGTGGAAAAGCGTACGTACTCCCCCTGCTATATGGCTATATATTTCCTTTTAATACACATCAACTCAATTTATTCGGTAGTATAAATAAAAACTGGCAGTTTTACCGAAGGAGAAATCGTTGGCTGCCATGAGATATTTTAAATATAACTTATTAATTAATTATAGTTGCACTATTCTATAAATTGCCATGCATGTTGACACTTTATCAATCATTCACACTTGTGCTTCATACCTACTCTAAACCTTCTTCTATTCTTTTCACTTTCCCTTTTTAGTTGAGCTCAACCTTCATGGCTCATCGTGCAAGAACCCAAGCTGGTAGTTTGGCACTCCTTTTTTTCACTCCTCCTTCAGGTCTCCTTCCTGAGATTGATTTTACCCGGTTTGAGTATTTTTTTCAAAGACCAAATAACTGGCTCTCTAATTTCATTAACTCTTGAAACCCTAGCGTTTCTTATCCTAAACCCTGCCAGCCCTAGTCTTGGTCAAATTAGTTCCCTAGTTATGAAAGAAGTTGATACCGAAGGAGAACCAAAACCTTCTCATCTTCCACACGTTTTTGACATTTACCCTTTCAAGTGTGAGTTCCACATTTTTTTGAGGTGGTGCCTTGGGACTTTTTTTGACTCGTTCGCACCGACTTGCTTGAGGCCAGCTTTGCATTTACTTGACCCCAAGCCATACATAAACGTTGATGATCCTGTTTGGGAACTAAACCTAGTCCCCCTTACCCACACATCCTTCATGCAGTTGTGTCTTTTGACACGGATGCCCAATTTGTACCCGGCTATCACAAAGTCCATCTTACCCCTTATAAGGGTGAGAGAGCTAAATACCTTGTCAACCCCCCATGTGTACCTATACCCATCGACACAAATCTTGTATGTTGGAATGTGAGAGGTATTGCTAGGCCATCCCTTATTCACAACTTTGCTCGGATCTATGAGAAACACCATCCTGGTATTGTTGTCCTACTTGAAACTAGGCACAACTTAGGAACAACCACACAGCTTATATCCGAGTTACCCGGCGAGTACAAGTTTTACTTCAGTCACCCAGATGAAGGAATTTGTGGTGGGATTGTGGTAATGTGGAAAGAACATATGCTATTCGTGGAGGAGCAGCGTATACACTCACATTTTATCAAGGGTGATATGTTTTTTAAGGTGTTGAATAAATTAGACTACCGATTAATTTAAAAGTCAATAGTAAATGTTTTAATTATATTTATAGATGTTGTTATGCTCACTAATTTGTTGTTTCCAGGGACATCCCGAAGCAAGGCGTAAGCTGTTCGAGGTATGAAAGCCAAGGGTGTAAGAGAATGACCCACTTTTGGTTGGTTATGGAGCTGAAGAATTCATGGTTGTTGTTGTTGTCTTTATTGAAATTAGTTTTCCCAGTTTAGGACTTGATGTTTGTTTCCGTTCTTTAACAGCGGTTTTAAATTAACTTCTGTGTATGGCAAGTGAAGTTTGTTATGTAACCTTGATTTTGTTGTTTGAATAAAGAAAGGTCTCTTTTTCCTTAACATTAAATGTATTCTCACATGACTTACACCCACCTATGGTAATAAGGGCTAAGCAAATTACGTCTCCACCACACTTTAGTCATGCAATATGGAATTTTTGATTAATTTTCACAATACTTCAATAAAATCACTTAACCCCTATAATCAAACTTGAGATATAGTTGGCAAACGTATACGCAAACATGTACTATTATTTAAGCATGAATATAAAGCATATCGACATTGGTTAGTAGGTAACATGCTTTGATCAGCTTTTCGGTATTTTGTTGTGAAGTCGAAGATTTGTTATTCATTTGTATAACAAATCCGAACCTACTTGATAATCTAGGTTGTGACAACAGCTTCTTGACGGTACTTGGAAAAAAAATTGTCGGATAAAAATTAAGTAGAGTTTTAAATCAAATATGAAGTTAAAATCCAGTACAGTAATGTTCTAAAATCATTCACAAGCATTTGGTTCATGAAGTCATTATAACATTAATAGACCTATTAAAACACTAATATTGTATCGTAGAGGATAGGAATGAGTGAGACAACAGATGACAAAATAATTGTGCTAATGCTTATTAAAATAAATCTCATGGTTTGATTATTAATTCGTTAAATCAATGACCCTTTAAAATAAATAACTACTATTTGGAAATTAAAATAAATTTGCATGGATGTTCCATGGCACACTAAAAGTACGAAAAAAAATAGTAGTTAATAACGGAAAAAAAATAATGATCACAACAAAATATTTATTCAACATATAAGCAATATATAGATAAACAAAAACAGTTATGACCTAACATAATGAACTATCGGCTATGAATATAAGCAAAAACCCGATAATGAACTCGACATATTGGTTTAAAAATGTATTTTCTTATCAACAGTAAAAGTTAAACCATATTTGGTTGTTAATTTCAACGGTATGTATTATGTGTAATACATGATAGGTTGAGGGGAAGTCTATTATAATTTGGAAAAATTTTGATTTAAGTTATTGCTTTATTTAACTGA